TTGATGGTATTTTGACCCATCCATTTTTCCTTCTATCCTGACAAGCGCTCCAGTCCCTGCTGCAGAGAAACACCCCCATCACAGGATATGACCACCTCCATGCTTTACTGTAGGAATGCTGTTACTTGAATGGTGAGCTGTATTGGATTTCCGCCAGACATATCGTTTGGTGTTGAGGCCAAATAATTCAATTTTTGTCTCATCTGCCTCAGAATCTTCGAGGTGCGTTTAGGCAAAGCTCAGTTGTGATTGAATGTGGCCTTTCTTGAGGAGTGGCTTTTTTCTTGCAACCCTCTCATACAAGCCACATTTGTGGAGAATTTGTGATATTGTTGTCACATGACCACTCTTTGTCATAAGTTCCGGCAACTGCTTCAGAGTTGCTGTAGACCTCTTAGTAGCCTCTCTGAACAGTTTCCTCCTCGCTCTTTCATCCAGTTTGGAGTGACGTCCTGATCCAGGGAGGGTCTGTGTTGTACCAACTTCCACTTTTTAATAGACTTCACTGTGCTTCTAGGCATTGATAAAGCCTTTGAAATGTATTTGTATCCATCTCCTGACTTTATCCCAGAGATCTTTTGACAGTGCCTTGCCACCCTGATTGTTTGCTTCAGTTGCACTACCAAGGACTGAAATGCTCCAGAAAAGCTCTTTTCATGCTGTAATCTAGTAATCAAAAAGTAGTCCAATTATATTACCTAAAATGCGCAATGTAATGGAATACATGACTAACTACACTATTTGTCATGTAATTTGGAATCTCTAATGGACTACAATTGGTAAGTAATCTACCCAGTTCTGTGAGTCATAAGATCTCTTATAAACGTGCTTTGTGCTGCTTGTTTAGGATGGGGAGGACACATTCAACAGGGCGAAACTGCTCAACGTGGGTTACGCAGAGGCTCTAAAGGAGTACGATTATGACTGTTTCATCTTCAGTGATGTAGACATCATCCCCATGGATGACCGCAACACCTACAAGTGTTCTAGCCAGCCACGCCACCTCTCTGTGTCCATGGACAAGTTTGGTTTTAGGTAAGACGAAACACCACCCATACACGTAATATAACGTGTAACATAATATTTGTTAAGTGACACCAGTATCTGAAAGTTCTAGTGCCACCTCAGTTGAAGCTTAAAAAGCCAGCTGCTCATGTTGCTCAAAAATGTATTTACCTAAACAAATGTCCTTCAGGTAAAGTACAGGAAGCAAATTCAAGGCGTGCATAAATTAAATATCCTGTTATGTTAGTAGAAAGATGGCTCAAGGATCAAGGTAATTTGGATCAAGGCCGATCGCAATGCAGCTGTGTAAACTCTATATGCAGAGCATGACAATATCCTTTAACCTTCTCTGACGTGGTCTAAAGTAAACGGTCAATTTAAGATGATCATACATGTAAAGAAGATGTTAAAGAGCAGGGAACAACTGACACTGTGAATACTGCACTAGTTTGATGGTTAATTATTGAATACAGCCACACAAGAGTTGTGTACAGTTGTAACAGGAGAGTCAGGAACAAGAAAGTTTATTAATCTTTGCCACCTTTAAATTTTGTGATACAAAGCCACACAAAGATGAAATGCCACATGGAAGCCACATTAAAATATGTTGCTTTGGTTCTTTGTTTGGGAAATGCTGCATCAGACCCACCTTATCTTTGCTGCTGTTGTGACATATATATATATATTTTAATGATCAAAAGACATATATAATGTTACAAAAGATTTCTATTTTAAATAAATTATGTTATATTGAACGTTCTATTCATCAAAGAGTCCTGAAACAATGTATCACGGTTTCCACAAAAACATTACGTTTTTAACTTTGACAATAATAAATGTTTCTTGAGGACCAAATCAGAATCAGAAGAGCTTTATTACCTGCGCTTTATACGGAGGAGAAGAAAATGCCATTGCCATCGAAACTTTTCTCAAGACAGTTCCCTTCAGTGATACATTAATATAACCCCAGAAATGTTGTTGTACATTAATATAACCCCAGAAACCCCATTTTTGTACTTATTTTACTGTTATTTTCGGGATCTACTGGGACAGTGATTAAGATCTACCAGTCGATCGCGATCGACGAGTTGGCGACCACTGCATTAGACAATCACTAACCATGACACAATCTATAAATTATTTTGCATATTGACAATTATACTCTAAACATAATGTCATTCTATGCTGAAACTTTTGAAAATCTTGTGTGATCCAGTGACAACGCACTAATATTTACAATGCAAAACAGGAAAATATTCATGTATGCTCCGCCCAGTTACACCAAATCTCAGACACCGGCTGCGTCCGAAACTGCATACTTCTCTACTATATAGTATGGGAAAAGCAGTAGGCGAGTGTTAGAAATTAACAATTGGTCCCTCGATATCTCTTTGCCGCCTTGAAGTTCTCAGTTCCTTAAAGTGTATACGGCCGGGAAGCAAGAAAACACACATTCAAATGTATTCTCAATACTTCAACTTTATTCATAGATACAAAGATATTATATAGGCATATGTCGAGGGGAGTTTCACCCTCTTAACCAATGAGGATAGGGTGACATACCCATACAGGATGTTTTGGCCAAGAACATGTGTTTTGTATAAAATGGCCACATGTACAGAAAAACATGTACATATTAGGAATAGACTTCCTGGCGAAGGATGCTGAACCCTCCTCACAGTTCAGCACAAACTCCTTTACCTCGTAATCCTAGCATTCATCTCCTTATTTGGGCATTTGACCCAAGCAACTAATGTATACATGTGTGCATGCCTACCTCGAATATGAGTAAGAGACATTAAAACACCATACAAGAGAGAGAGAACAGATAGAGGAGGGAGAGTGAGAGGGAGAGGGAAAGAAAGGAGGGGTGAGGCATATTTGGAACATTCTCAAGACAGAGAGTGTTTTCTAACACCTATATAAAGCTTTATTATAATATAAGGAATTTGACTTGACGACAGGAGCTTCCAGTGTAGAAGAAAGTACAATCATAGTGCAGACATACATAGGAATAACACAGTAGGGATGTAATATAAAACTAATATAAAAATATATTTAAAAAAATAATAATCAGCATATTAGAATGATTTCTGAAGGATCTTGTGACACTGTAGACTTCCGTTATAGTGCCCTAGTTAAAATTCAGCTTTGAAATCACAGAAATAAATTGTATTTAAAATATATTAAAATAGAAAAGTTCTTTTAAATGGTGATGTTTTACGATATTGCAATTTTTACTGAGTTTTTGACCACACAATTGAACATTAAAGACTTCTTGCCATCTTGCCAACCCCTAACTTTTGAATTCTATTTCCAGTCTTGCAAGAATTTGATGAGAAAAATTGAGTTCATTGAAATTTGAGATTTCGGTGTGTGAGATTACAGAGACCTTTATTTCACTTCTCTCTCCATTTAATCTCTTTGCTACAGCTGAAATAGTTTGTGTGTTTGATTTTATTTGCAATGTAAACATCAGCAGTAGCCTACACAATATATCAAAGTCTCTCAAGGTAACATACAAACCAATCTTTTCATCAGCTTTTTTGTTTAATTGAATTAACGTCAAGCACAAACAAATCTTTGAGTAGATTTTAAATGTACAAAGGCTGAATAAAAGGTGTATCTGACGTAATACCAGGCTTAGTCTGTGAAAATAATTCCATTTATGCCGAATTCACACTGCACGATTTTCAAACTGGTCGGATCGCCGTTTTTTTTCACACTGCGTGACTATCTGGGGTAGCATTCAGTTGCTGCTGTATTCACATTGCACGATGGATCGGCGACAGGGGGTTTCACATTGCATGACTTCACAATAGGAAGAATCGCCGACAGCTCTGTCTGGTGCAGGGTTGCCAGATTTTCGCTACAAAACCCGCCCAATTGCTACTCAAAACTAACCTGAGAATAGCCCAATTGCTTTCGAGGGGGTCCCCCAGTAAAATCGCGTTCGGGGGGTAAAATACAAATTTTTTTGGCGGGGTTCTCCTGGTACAATTCACAATTCCAGGGCCTAAATATCACGTTATTTGGGTCGCTTCAACCTGCTGACATAAAAAAAACAACCGGCGGCAATCGCGGATTTGGGAACACTGGTCCGCAAACTACGTTTCATATAACTCCTCCCCGAACTTCCCGCTGCCCTGTATCTTGTTCTCTCATTGGCTGTAGGTCATCGCCGATGTGTTTTTCAGTCAGAACTCATTTCACACAGCGTGATTGTTAATCACGACAGCTCCAGATATTTAGCATGCCAAATAGGGCGTCGGCGATTCCCTCAGATCGTGTCTTTGATAATTCACACTGCGTGATTGTCACTCGCGTGAACGAGCACCGATTTTCCTCCGATTTCGGGCATTTGTCGGCGATTTCGCAAAACCTGTCGGCGAGTGAAAAATCGGGCTAAAATCGTGCAGTGTGAACTCGGCATTAGTTTGAAGCAAAACCTGAAATGCATATCAGAAGGTGTTGTTGAGTTTGGTTTTTGTGTGGTTTAGCTTTCATGACAGTTCGTTTCAGTTACTTAAGGAATGCAGCTCTTCTACTCTTTATAGGTAGCACCAGTATATTTGTAATATTACTCCACTGATGGTAAGCTGAAGACTGGAAGTTGGAACCCAAGTGCAGTTTTAATGAACAGAAGTACACCGGATACAAATCAAAGCTAAAACATCACACAAACATGAACTTTTGGAAAACTTGTCTGTTACAGACTTGACAAACTCACCAACAGCAGGTTATACAAATAAAGCTAGTTGGGAAACATGAGGGCTATATATACACATGGACTAATGAATAAACAAGACACACCTTAAAGTATTCAAGACAATGAATCACTGACAAGAGAGAACTGAAGCTGACCACCCATGAACCCTGAAAACATGACACATGGGGTGTTTCTCAATACCTAAATCGATGCTTCCTCGTTTTCTCGCTCCTCCGTCCTCCAGCATGTGACCTGGAAACCAATCAAAGTTAGCCATCTTGAAGGACATCTCAATTCCAGTGTTGCCAATTTAGCTACTTTGTAGCTAGATTTAGCGACTTCCCCGCCCCTTTTGAGACTTTTTTCAAAAGTTTAGGGACAAATATAGCAACTTCTTGGACAAACCTTATCTAAGTTATCATCTTGCCCACTGATCTACGTTCATCTTTATATAGATCAGTGAATTTGCCATTATGATGTCATCTAGTGACCTTTAGCTACCAGTTTTAGCTACTTTCAATTGAAAGCAGTTGGCAACATTGCTCAATTCTCCGCGCCGCGGGGAACGAGGAAGCTTCCAGACGAGCTATGCGGAAATCTTTCTTGTTGAAAAACCTGATGCACGTAGAAATTCTCCTCCCCCTTCACATCTGTCTTACCTTTGCAGTTTACATCTCATATACAACCCCAAATCCGAAATAGTTGGGACGTTTTGTAAAATGCAATGAAATCAAGAATCTGTGATTCTGTTAATTCTCTTTTACTTTTATTTAATTGACAAAAGTACAAAGAAAAGATTTCCAATGTTTTCACTGACCAACTTAAATATAAACAAATTTTGATTCCGATGGCTGCAACTCACTCCAAAAACGTCAAGACAGAGGCTAAATAAAAGTGAATAGGTTATAGAATATCCAAATTAAACTGTTTTGAAAGAGTCCACAATAAGCAGGTGAACTGGTAATAGGTGAAGGCATCATGTTTGGGTATAAAAGGAGCTGCAAGCAAAGCTGGATCATGGCTCATCACTTTGTGCCAAATTTCATGAGAGAAGTAATTCAAGCAAATCAAAAATCACATTTCTCAATGCAAAATCGCAAAGAATTTAGGGCTTTCACCAGCTGCCATACATAATAATGAGAAAAGATTCAGGGAATCCAGAGAATTCTACATATGAAAAAACTACATATGAAAACAATATTTTTCATTCAAAAATTGATTCTGTCTGAATGCAGGTTACCATATAAACAGTATTTTGGGGGTGTATCAGCAATCAGTATAGAGCAGTTTCAAAAGATCAATGGTTTTCCCAATAACTACTGGGGCTGGGGAGGAGAAGACGATGACATCTTTAACAGGTGAGGAAAATACAGTAACTGTCTTACTATTATTTACAAATTCTTGTCATATCATATGTGTTTTAATGACTGTTATTATTTTTGAAGGCTGGTATTTCGAGGCATGAAAATATCAAGGCCGAGTGGAGACATTGGTAAATGTAGAATGATTCGTCACTCGAGAGACACGAAAAATGAGCCAAACCCACAGAGGTAGTCTGTCTTTCACAAACACACGTGCATAACTACAAACCAGATTGAATGCCCTTCTAAAGTTGTATCTCTGTTTTTAATAGATTTAAGAGAATTGTTCACACACGACAGACAATGAACACGGATGGCATCAAATCACTCAGATACAAAGTGATAGATATAGAGAAAGACCAGCTCTTCACCAAAATCACAGTGGACATCGGCAAGCCATGAAACTCTAGAGCTCTGAAGAAATAGATGTTTTTCATAGGATAAAATGGATCTGAAATTAAAGGGGTCCTATTATGCTTTTTCACTTTTTCAACTTTAGTTAGTCTGTAATGTTGCTGTTTGAGCATAAAAAAGATCTGCAAAGTTACAAAGCTCAAAGTCCACTTCAAAAGGAGATATTTTATGTAACAGAAATCACTTTTCAAAAACTACAACGAACGACTCGTTTGGACCACAACGCATATTTTCCGGGATTTGTAATATCACAAATATCGACGAATGGGACAAGATCTGGTTGAGCTGCACTAGAGAAGGCAACGAGTGTTATCACTATGTCGGAGACACGCTAGCTTTCCCAAAGCAGACGAACTTAGAGTGGTTACAATCATCCGGGTTTAAATTGCGCTCAAATTGATTTGATTTTGACGCAATATTTACACTGAAGCTCGCAGGCGGCTATGGTAAGGGGCATGACATTTCCCGACCAGGCGCAGAGTGACAACACCCACTGCCCCAGCTAACCAATCACAACAGACACTGGCCCAGCTAACCAATCACAGCACATTTCGTATTTCAGAAGGCGGGCCTTCATTTTATACAGGAACTATTCGAGCCGTTCATGCTAGACTGGGGAGAGAGATGTTGTAATAATGTAATAATTTATGTGTTTTTCGAACAACCTAGTATGAGAGCCTGTTCTAGTACACCCCCAAAACAAAATTAAGACTTTGTAAAAGAGCATAATAGGACCCCTTTAATGTACATTTTTGTCCTTAATATTATAATTGAAAAAAAATGTATTTATAACATAATACACTACATAATACACTATTTAATAATATAATATATTGAAATAACAATACAGATTTTCATTTGAAATTGATGTAGCAAAATAATTCGTAGGAGGAAATTTATTTATTTTTTTTGTGGAAAAACCGTGAAAAAATAAAAATGTAAAGAATAAAACAAAAACCTTTCTTGTGGCTATACCTTTAAAATACTGTGTATTTTTGCATTCTTTTTAGTGCAGTGGACATTAGACTTCCATTGTAAGGTATTTTGTGGTAATAAAAGTTACTAAAACTAAAACCATCAAAAATGTGGTTACTTAAATCTAATAAATTGAAATTGAAATAAAATAAAATATATAATTACTGAAGCAGTTGATTTCAACTAGCTACTCGTTTTCATTTAGTTTAAATTTGAATTTGAAGTACTAAAATAAAATGAAAAGTAAAAAAAAATTATAATGAAAACATGTTGTAATGGACATGTTTTAAAAAGCTAATAAAAATTATGAAAACTAACAAAAACATAAAAACAACTGCGGAGCACGCCACGGAGGCAGCCATCAGCGTCGGCGCCATCTTACTACCTTAAAACATGTTGTTTTAAGGTAGTAAAACATGTTGTAATGGACATGTTTTAAAAAGCTAATAAAAATTATGAAAATAAGAACATTACTAAAATTACGTTCCAAAACTTAAGAACTAAAATTAAAGTGAAATGAATATATAAAATGAACTCACAAATATATAACAAATTAATTTTAAATTAATTAATTTAAAATGTATAACCAATTATAATAGTATGTATATCAATCATACTAAAATAACACAGATGGTAAAGCATGGCGTCTATCGAATGTTGAGGAAAAGAATGAAGAAACACAGATGTTCCATTTCAGATGCTTTAATTTGGCCACAGATCTTAATGATCCTGTATGTCGTGCAGAAGCTCAGCAGTCGCCATCTCTTGTGATTAAAAGGTCTGATTTGGTTTTCCTGAAAAGGACACACACAAAAAAATGCTGTCATTTCATAACCAAATATAAGGAATGTACTCCAGCCGTCTGTGTGTATGTGTACGTGACCTACAGTCTTTCCACACACAGCAAGCACTCGTTGGCGTAGGTGTTTCCGTCACTGCCGCACACAGGTGCGAAGTTCATAGGACACGCCAGGATCTCGGCCATCTCAGCACACATGGGCTACAAAACACACACATACACGCATTTGTGGCATTGCATTCCAATAGTTTTAACCCCTGAAAGATAAATGAACTAAAAAAAAAAAACACTAGTTA